AAAAGGCAACATCGTGGTATTTAGTTATAAATCAATTCTTTAATCCTCAAATTTAAATATGATCATCCTCATGGTGAAACAAGAAAAAATATGTATCATAAGAATTTTTTTCTTAACGGCTTCTAGGAGCCGGCCGTAAAGGGTTAAAGAGGTATAGTTTGCGTAGAGGTAATGAAGTCATTACTCTTCTTCGTTAGGTGTGTGGTGTGAAACTAAATTCACTTGATTACTCTTTAGGGTATCCTGACGTTTAGCTCTCGATACCCAGTGTAATGGTATTATGACATCTATGTAGGTAAGGCATAATAGTTTTGTGCATTGGAATTCCTGTTGATATTCATTATTTATACTTATTTTTTCATTTTCACTTTCCTTACTATATTAATTATTCTTCTTTCTGTTCATATAAATCTTGTATCATTCTTCTACAATTATTGATGATTTATTTAGCTTTGATATATTGTTTAATATCGAAAATCTTAAATTCATCTACTACTCACGATTAGTAATATTCCTGTCATAAAATTGTTAATTGGCATCGAAAAAGCCGATTCTGTACTATCAGTCTCAATGAATGAAATTTTCTTAAACATGCTGCATAACTGTAAAAAGCACTAGAAGACAGTAGTTCTTTGCATTAATTTCGTTTGATTCCGCCTTATTTTTAAAAGTAGTGATCTTTCTATATTGTTTATAAATTGCTTTGTATTTGTAGATCCTTGTTTTTGTTTACAAGGAACATGAAAATCATGAAATGAGAATTCATTTTTACACCAATAATATTACTTTTTTCATTAAAAACTAGATCAAAGCTTCAGGAAACATCGTGAATTCTGTTCAGTATTTCTAAAAAATCTATTAAGTATTGTATTAAAAAAAGAATCGAATGATTTGTCGAATAGCAGTTGGAACTGTTCACAATTATCATCTTGGTCACTTCTTCATACATCTCTATTTGTAGATTTTACTGATATTTATTCAGTCTGTATAATCAATTATAGTAAATCTTGTTTTAACTATCAAAAACTTAAAAGGCATCAAATAGTAAAAGTCTTATTCTTTAATAGAAATGTCTCTATACTTCTAATATCAAGCTTATATAAGAATATTTAAGTTTTATTTAGTTCAATATAGCCCATAGTCAATTTACTGTAGTATCGATTATCATTTTATACTGATTAAATAACCTTATGACTTCTCTCTCACATACGACTCAAACAAAACTTTCAAAGACGCCAAAGTTCCTATTAAAACACAAGATGTGTATTGCTTACTGAATGTCATCTAAAAATGTTGGCTAATACATTTATGTAACAAAATCTACGTGCTACTTTAAGAGATTCGATAAATTTTTACAGAAACTAAAAGAGGTTCTTCTTCTCGACAACAACTGCTCGTTTTAGCTTCTTCGTTAAAAATGCACATTTTCATAACTGATCATCTAATTTTCGAAAAAAATCTGAACTATGTTCAACTTAAGTTAAGTTATTACCATTGAAGATATACCTCAGTCTTATAGTTAAGCTTATGTATGACAAATTTTTTATATTCTATTTATGTCGTTTTAGACAATGCCACAACGTATTATTCAGCAGCAATCCAAGGAACAAATCACACAACAACAGCAACAACAGATTGCAAAGCGGCAGCAAGAGATTGCACAAAATCAACAAAAAAATGCAGAACAACTACAAAAAGTTGCATAGATACAACAAAGAATTGCACAAATGCAACAACGACAAATGACCGAAATATTCGATATTGTTGGTTATGTGCTTCAAATAATGAACGATCAAGTACTAAGAACAATTTACTCTGTGTACGTTTGAATCTAAATGTTCGTCCTTTTTTCACTTACACTATCATCTCTTAGTATTTTGGAATGAATTTTGGTTTGTTGAGTGTAAATATACATAGAAAAAAATACGAAAAATGAAGTGAAAATAAGTTTCTAAAATTTTTATAAGAAGCCAAATGGTTTGGTCATCTAGATGCCAGAGTTGATGGATGGTAATGATCATGCAGCTGTATCATGATGTGATTTTTTTCTAATCCAAATTCTTCCTTACATCCATTAATTAAAACATATAACAATAATTTCATTTCAGCATTCGATAAGAAGTGGTTTTCAGAGAACTTATTTTTTAGATCATCTTATGTAAGGTCTTCAAAAGTCTTTTTTTAAATACAATTTAAAGCAACATATTTATAATTATCGTTAAAACGATTTTCGAATACGAATCAGATATGTTAAAGCTCATTATGGTCTCTGAGAAATACATTCTCCAGTAGTTATGAGTTTTGAAAAGCATTTCATAACAAAATAGTTCACGCGAAAACGTATCAAACCAATGTTCTATTTTATTTCAGTGTTCATTTTACCATAAATTCAAGTTCTCTTTTATTCTCTTTAGAAAATCTGTCGAAGATTATTTCATAATACCACGCGAAAACCAGAAAAATTCTGTAATTTATCATAAAAAGTATTCGTTCAGACGTCAACTATTAAAATCCGAAATAATTTATCGTCTAAAAACAATACAAAATTGCTCAAAATATTCAAAAAACCTTGGTGAAATTGTGGAAAACTAAATATTATTTCACAGCTAACAATCTCATAACTTTGACAAATTGTTTTTTTCAATTCTGTTAAGATTTTTGGAATTCTGTGGCTGTGTACATTATTGAAATAGCAATAACAGAGATTTTGATCAGAAATAAAATTTGTTCATTGACATAGCTATCAGCTAACTCATGTAGTAAGAATATCACTGACTTGAAAATCTTTTTCACGTTATAAAACGTATTAATCATTCATATTTTAAACGTTCATTATCAACTCGACAATTTAAGATGATTAAGGAAATTTATAAGAGTACTCACATCAATATGGAGTTATTTAACAACCATTGACATGCCTGATATTTGAACTGAGTTACACATTCTTTATGGATTCTCGTTTTTGTGGTAAATTAGTTTACTTTTTGTTGTAACAATTCTGAACATGATGAAGAAGGATATTTCATTGACGGTTTTCTCTTATTGAATTTAGCTGATGTTAATTTCTCATGTTCGATAATATACTAGATAGTTAAGTTCTAGATCTTTATTCGAAAAGAAGTTCAAAAGAAAATGATTGATGGTTACTATTGTCAGATTTGTTTGATTTTCATGAACTTTGTAGACTTGTTTCATCAATATTTATATTCATGAAAATGTTGAATCTTTGAAGACATATCATGTAACATCGAATGTTTGAAGATATTATTTCTACTATTAAGGCTATATATTCATTTTCAATTTTACTGTAAACTAATTGAAATGATTAAAATATTTAAAAATTCAACTAACTTTATCACTAGATTTGTGATGACTCGCAAGTATGAAGTTTATTTACTTAATTTAGTTTCTTCAAAAGAATGATGATATAGATTTAACTAACAGACAAATTAGATGAAAAATCAAAGTCTAATTCATTAGCTTGATTGCTAGAAAAACTTGTACTATTCATTAGATAAACCAACCATATCAGAATTGATTCTCTAGTTGTAATTTGTATTATTCTAATTAATTCCATATTTATCATTTTATTTCCATTTTGACGTTCATGCATTATATTTAGTTGATTGGATCTTTTCGGTTAATATCTGATACCATGGTTGTATTTTTTTAAGATTTCTATAAATACTATATAAAACGTCTTTAAAATCGATATATCATGTAATGGTAGCAAAATGCATATTGATGTCGAGAACTTTGAAAAAATTGATTCAAGACTTCTACATAAGTCCACTGTATAAATTTCTGTGAGATAACTTTATTAACTACCCTTGATAATTCAAAGTGATTAAATAAAATGTTTTGCTGAAAAACAAAATTAAAATCCCACTATCATTGAAGAATTGTTATATTTAATATTATTGTAGACATTTGAGAAGTATATTTATTTTGATGAAAGCTCTCCTTAAAAAATTTCTTTCGCTGGTAATATGTATGTCTGTATGCTACTCAATAGTTACTAGACAAATGATCAGCAATATAAATACTATCCTCAGCTGATGCATAAAATAACGACTTTAGTAACAATTGTAATTATATTAATAATTTTCATGAGATATAATAAACTCCATTCGCTGATAGATGTCTGCATCTTCTTTAGCTATGCTAAGATAGTTGAAGGCCATTCACCTTTTAAAAGTAATTTTTTCTTCAATTAAAACATATAAATGTTGAAAAACTGTAGCCAAAGTATGCCGTTTTTTATATTAAGTTATTTTCGAATCAATAGTATTTAATTTCTTAGAGCTTTATCATTGTTTTTTTTTCTACAGTGCCAGTTTGTCTTATTCAACATAGAAAATCCAAGAGAGATTTATTTTTACTATAAAAAAAAATGATTCGTATCCCATTTACGATAAATATAATTATTATGAACATATATCTCTTAATCAATTTTGACTCTGTATGGAAATGATATATATTTTCAGAATAAAGCAAGGCAATATGTCCCTTACCTCACATAGACATAGCGTAACTGATCAAAATTGAAGTTTAAGTAATTTATAAGAATATCTAAATAACATTCATAGTTAAAATTTACTTACAATAATCGATGTTCAATAGTAATAATATGACGTCTCTACAATTTAATAGCTATATATTGGCTGTAAAATCAGATACAAAATTATAAAGGATTTTAAGTTCTTATTGAATTTCAAGATCTTTTCGACAAAAGTAATTGCGTATGTCTTATATTTAATATCGAATAAAGTGGCATATCAATTAGAATTTTTGAATTGCTTGAAAGATGTTTCAAGACGATTGGACAGTAATGTATTTCACGTTATTATTTGATTGTAGCGAAAATTGGTCACAAGTACTTTTCTAATACCAAGCAGAGGTCTTTGTTGATGAAACACCATATGCATACAGTTTAATATATTATATAATTTTCAACAGTGTGATTTCGCTTATTAATTTCATTTGGTCCTTTTTCTTGCATATAAACATCGAAGGAAATTTTCGAAAATCATAAAGAACAGATAAAACAGTAACATATAGATTATTTATAACAACGAAAAGTACTGTTTTGTTATTCGTCATCTATCATAGACATCATACGTTGTTTCACGTTATTCAATGTGCCAGGATCAACAATTTTTCGAGTCTATTGTAATTCCTCAACCTCATTTACAAAAACAAGTCAAGCGAGGTGACCGTTTCAAGATATCGAAACTAATATGTGTCTTTTGTTTTATAAGCTATTTCTATGGCATATTAAACTAGAATTGTAAATTATGAATAGATCGAGTCCTTTTATCGAACACGTACAAATAACTGCACAGACTGACAACAATAATATTACTCTGAATTACTCGTTCTAAAATGTGTACGACTATCTATGCCAGATGGACGAATAGTCAACATTTGCTTGAGGGTGATCTGAGTTAGAAATTTGAGTAAGCCTCAGCAACCCCTACTGTTGATAGGTCATAAAAATCAAAACTTGAATATTCCATTTATTCTTTCTCACATTTTTTATTTCTCGTGAAATATTTCCTTATATTGAATCTGTGGACACGCATACATGAGATTGTATCATTTTTAAGTCAAATATATTGAATATAAAGAAATACTGGATACCTGCTCGTTTCAGTTCTTATTCATTCATAGAATGAATTGTTTTCAATGTCAAATTATACTAATAGGCCTGCTTGAGAGATTGTGAGATACATGCTGATGGTAAGAAGTGATGCAGTCTGTTATTACAACGATCTAGATGATAGTTGGCTAATTAAGGTAGATTTCATATACTCTTGGCCATAGAGACAATGTCTCATGGAACAATTCAATTTTTTGTGTGGAATTGCATCATTATATTAGAGATAACTGGCATAAATTCGGTCCACAAATGATTGATAATATTGAAAAATAAAATCAGATTAAAGATCGAAGTCTCGTGGACTTTGTAGATCAATGACAATGAGTCGATCAACGGCAGAATTGAGACATAGGGATGATCGAAATAGTTGAAAGACGATGACTTCGGTTCATTAATAAATTGTTTTTATGTCTTGCTAGTTACACATGTTTGTTGTTGTAAGAATCGTAATGTAATATCTGTCTAACATAGTCGAATTTTTTTTTCTATTCTCCAGATGATATTCACTGTTGTAGGCATATTTACATCAAACTCTTATAAATGACTACTTTCATCTTTCTATTTTGATAGAACGGACAAATAGTTTTTGACTATAAGTGAACAAGTAAAATAAAGACAACCTAATATAGTCGTGATGCTAGTGAATATTTGTTTTGTCATTCAAGCCAAGCGAATAAATCAATTTTACTATGATCGAATTCGTTTCGTTGCCGTCTATTAATACTGAACAAATTTGAATTGTAATTTTAGTTTCTTTTGATTTCATCAATATCTTATTATTTAAGTTGATTTGTCATGCATTTTTTGAAGAAAACTCTATTATACATCACTCGTTACGGGTGTGGATGTAACTGTAATTATTATAGGTGTAAGTTCTGACATGAATGAGTAGTATCTCTACAATCATTAACAAAAAAGAGCATCGGTAAGCATGGAGAAATCTTCGAAATAGGTAAGAAACAGCAAAAATTAGGAGATACATTCGAACGATAGAGGGCGTAGGTGTGGATGTTGGTGGATATGTTCTGTTTTTTAACACCCACACCATCACATCATCAGAATAGATAGAAGATCAGAAGATGATAATCACGCAGTGGTGTTTGTATCAATTTAAAGAACAAGAACAAAAGTCTCTCTTTTAAATCAAATCGGCAATGTCCATGGGCAGTTCTTCGATTTTTGTATTATAATATTGTTCAATATTGTGTAATGTTTGTCGTTCATCATTGGTAATGAAATTGATAACCATACCTTTTCGACCGAATGCACCACTACGCCCAATACTTAACCAAAAAAACAAAATTTATTTCATTTCGACATTATTGATTCTTACCGATGAATATAGCTCTCACGATTAGTCGGTAGATTATAATTGATAACAAGATTAACTTGTGGAATATCACTATTACTTTCAAGCGTATCTGTTCTTACCAAGATTCGACTGGAACCCATTCGAAATTCTTTTATGGCATCATAGCGTTGTTTTACATCCATATTTAGATGCTACAACAAAAAGAAAATCAATTCGTATATCAATGTATGACTTCACAAATGGTTATTTCAAAATTATCATCGTGCAACTGACCAGAACAGATACAGTAAAATTACGTGCACGTAGTTTTTCAGTTAACCAATCAATCTTTTGATATGTGTTACAAAAGATAACAGCTTGTGTAATCGTTAATGTATCGAACAAATCGTATAACGTATCTAATTTCCACTCCTGGATAAAAATAATTCTACATCAGTTCATCATCATAGAATAATAAGTATGTCTATTTACCTCACGTTCGACATTCACGTAAAATTGACGAATACCTTCGAGCGTTCGTTCTTCTCTCTTGATGATAACTTTTATAGGATCATGCATAAATTTAGCTGTGGTTTCGAGTAAATCGCAGGGCATTGTAACCGATGCAACAATGATCTGAACATTTTCTGGTAGCGTCGTAAAGACATCATAAATTTGCTCCTTAAAACCACGAGATAAAAGCTCATCAGCTTCATACAATACGACCATTTTGATATTTTCACTACCTACGACGTGAATGAGGATAAAAATGCGACACATATAAGACATAAATCACGTACGAAGTGCCGATCTCTTTAATATATCATAGGTTCGACCAGGTGTACCAACAACAACTTGGATACCTGCTTCAAGCCGGTTCATATCCTCACGAGGATTCGTACCACCAATACAAGCATAACATGTCACCTTCATATGTTCACCTACTACTAAAACTATTCTATGGATCTAAATTACAAATAGAATCAAGAAATTGATGGCAAACAAAGATTACATGTCAGAGAAAACTATACCCCTTGAGCTAGTTCATACGTTGGTACCAGAATTAATGCTTGACAGTCTTTGCAATTTACGTTGAGTTGTTGTAAGACTGCAATGATGAAGGTTATTGTTTTACCTGTGCCTGATTGTGCTTGCATAATCACATCGTAACCTTTAAGAAGAATGAATATTTATTGAATAAATTCCAGTTGTAGAGAAATGGCAGACAACGAACCCGAAATACACGGTTTAAGAGAACGTTGTTGAACATCCGTAGGATGTTCGAGACCATAGCCATAGATACCACGTAAAAGTGGTTCTCGTAAGTTCATCTGATCGAAATGCTCGACCACTTCTGTCAAGCGACTTAGGGTGGTTTCGTCTCGCGGCAAAGATGGTTTGATCTCGCTATGTTCCTGCGAAAGGACGTCTGTGCTCGCACTTTGGTGAGTGTCATTCCTAAAAAACAATAGCAACGATTCAATACGTGAGTCTTTCGAAAATCAACCTGCTCGTGAGGTGACTATAATGATTTAGCAGTTATTAGATACGCCTTAGAAATATTCATCGAAGATCTACAAATCTGTACATGATTTAGATTTACACCTATGATCAAGCAAGAGTTATAGGTACCTTACTGGAAACTGAAAGCCGATTTTTCTAGCAGTTTCTGTCCAACAAAAGTCGCTTTTCCGCTTCTTTTCTTAGAAAATTCTCAAACATAGCACACACAAATATTTTCTTTCTCTGCTAGCAAGTCAGGTAAAAATATGCAAGTAGTGTTCTTCGACTTAGCGTTCATGCGAGAAACAATACATACTTCAAAGAAGATATTGTTTCGCAGTCGTTTTCTTTGGTTTGCGTTTGACAGTCGCTCATAAATGAAGATAAAAAGAAAATGTATTTGAAACGCAATTGATCTACAAAAAACCAAGAACATAATCATTCGACAACCAATCAAAAATCTACTAAGAATCAACATCATTTATACCCCATGCAACGCACGTTGAAAAAGAAAAATTCGATCAGAATCGTATATTAAACAACTGCTCTTTGAAAAAGAAAATGCAGACTGTATAAAACGAATGCATATAGATGACTGTAATTTCGAAATTTCTCCACGGGTAAAAATGAGTCAGAAAATATGAAGGTCCTTCAGAAACGAAACAACCAATCGTTTCAACAGTTCCAAATGAAAACTGATCAAACTTTTACATAATAACACTACAACATTTAAAAGCTTTGATATTTGTAACAAGACAAATAAATCTTTCGATCTCATATTATCCTATGTTGCTTAATCTATTTTTTGCCAGCGAGCGCTACAATCTATCGCAATAGAACAACTCTTAGTGCTCGAGTTATTTCTTTGTAATCTTGAAAAAACACTTCGTTGCTTCTCTTTTCTGATTAATTTCGTGACCTTTTACTACGGCAGATACTGCGAATCGTCTTGATTGTCAACCATATCTTGATGGTGTGGTTCGCTAAGTGTGCGTGTCGATATGACATAATTTTAGTATCCACTCACACCTATCCTAAATGAACAAAACTCGATCAATAATTTCTAATGAAGAAAAGGAATACCTCGACGATAAACAAAATCTTCTTTTCTTCATTTTTCTTTCTAAACAAATAAATTTAAGAAATTTTCTTAAGACATTAGAAGATTGTCGCGAACATAAGAAATTAATTGAAGAATTGAGTTTCGCTTTGGATTATCTTTTTGAAGATATTCAATCGAATTTAAGTCAAGTTTATTCAGAAAATATTAAAATGATTTTAAAGAATTGATTGTGATCGAATTCGAACTTTTCGTCAATCAGCACAACTTGTTCTCACTGTGATCAATACAATTTTAGAATGTTTCACAAAGAAAACCCGAGTCAGTCTTAATTTTTTTGTTTTAAACAAAAGAATAATTGAAAATGATTTTATTTTATTAAAGATGATCCGAAGAAAAATGATGAATAGCGAAAAAAAAAAGAATTTCTTTAATGATCCTCTTTATTATAGTCGAGATCAAATAATACCCTCAAAAGTAGCTGCGAGTCGATGTAGGACTTGAATTTGAACTATTTAGAAATATTCTAAAGTAAATCAATTACAAAGAATTAAATTCGAACAAGTGAAAACTGACGAAAAACTTCTCAATGAAGTTAGCTTTTTCTCCTTTTTGTTCTTTTGATTCATTTAATTCTTAAACAGATCACTATGAAAATCATATTGAAAAGAATTTTCTTCAAATAAATAAGAAGGTTTTATTTGAATTTTTACGATCAATACGAATTCCAGATGAAAATGTTGATGAACTGAAAAGATTCGTTTGATTATTTGTAATGTAAACATATTTTAGGTGAAAAAGTATTTGAGCTGAATAATAAAAAAGCGAATTCTCCAAATGAATTAATGAACATTGTCGTTCTTATTCATCAATTTATCGATGGAAATTAGAATCACAAAATCATTGTTAATGAACTTTTAGTAACATTTGTTCAATCATATCGAATTACTTAGGGTGTACCAAAAGTTCTGATCACGACGTTACATAGCCATATAGTAAGCTTAAAAAAAACTTTCTTTCNACAATTGATTTTAATATTTTCTAAAATATGTCAATATTATTCTTAAAATTCTTTCTTAGTAATAATAATTACCTTTGTTACCTATGGAAGCACTTTTTAATATTTTGTACAATCTGAAAGTATAATAAGCTGGTTTTATACTTGTCAAAGTAATTGCTTATATTTTGAAGCTTTCAAAATAGTAATCAGAACTAGTTTGATATGTTGAAAAGTATTCAATAGTACTTTTCTCAATTATGAGGTACAATATATTGATTTTTAGATTTTCTTACACACACTATCGTGCATCTTCGCTTACAAGAGTTAAAAGAAAGTAGTTTCAACGTATTGAAAAGTAACTAATGGTACCATCATAGATATAGAATGGAATTAAAATAATATTAATCAGAAATTACTTTGATCTACTTTTAATTGTTTCAGTCGATCTGACCAAAATGTTGCAACTCGCACACACACGCATATATATATATATATATATATATGTATATACAGAGAGAGAGAGACAAGTTCTGTTTTTTTCTCTTCATCTTCAACAGGTATTTACATTTTTACTCATTTATTGTCGTTCGTTCACAAATATAGCACTATCATCATGGATGGAAAAAATCAACATTAACTGCTAGTAGTTCATCGTCCTCTGTGTCATTGTTGGCCACTACAAATAAACCGAAAAACTCGTTATCCGTACCGTCATCGACAAGTGGCGGTGGTGCTACTGCCGGTAGCAGTGAAATAACAAAAAACAGGAAGATAAATGCTGCACTGCCCGGACCTATGCGTCGGATTCTAGAAAATTTTCTTGTGATCTGGCTTGATGCCAATTTCGATGAATACAAAGATGATTATAAAAAAGCAATACAACATCTACGACATAATGTAGGAACGATCACAACATTTACAGATGCTGACCAATGTGTTGATTTTCTCAGTGATATTAAAGACGAAAAAGTATTCATGATTGTGTCTGGTGCCCTCGGACCATATATAATACCAGAAATCCAAGCATTTTCACAATTGGACTGCGTATATGTTTTCGGTGAACATCAATCAATTCATGAGCAATGGGCAAGAAAAATACCTAAGGTTAAAGGTATTTACACACAAATCGAACCGATTTGTAAAGCATTAAAATTCAATCGGGAGCATTGTGATCGATCTATGATCTCGATCAGTTTCAATGGTGTTGATGCCTTGTTTATGTATACGCAATTATTAAAGGAAACACTCTTAGAAATTGAAGATGATGACACAAAATCTATTAAAGAACTAGTTGATTATTGTCGACTTCAAAGTGATGCTTCTGAAATTACACTTAAAAACCTCGAACAAGGATATCGTCACCATACAGCTATTTGGTGGTATACAAGTCCCTACTTTATTTACTCCATGCTGAACCGTGGGCTTCGACTGATGGATGTCGACATAATAACTAAAATGGGATTTTTTATTCGCCATTTACACCAACATATTGACCAATTATATCACGAACAACAACAATCCAGCAGGAAGATCAAAGAGCCATTCACAGTCTTTCGAGGACAAGGCTTGTCTATAGAAGTTCTCGATAAAATGAAAAAAAACAAAGGAGGACTTATGTCCTTCAACAATTTTCTTTCCACAACTCACAATCGTGATGTATCTCTTGGTTATGCACTGGCAGTAAATAATACAAATTCAGTTGCCATACTCTTCGTAATGAATATTGACCCAACAATATGTGCACAATCAAAAATTTCATTTGTCGACGTTAAAGATGTCGGCTTCTTCGAAAACCAAGAAGAAGAAATTCTTTTTACGACACACACCATCTTTCGCATCGATCACATAGAGCCGCTCGACGACGGACATATAGATCAGCGATGGCAAGTTCATCTCACTCTTACAGGTAACGAGAATCACGAACTTAACAAACTAACGTCACATATACGCCAAGAGTTAAATTGGACAACAGGGTGGAGTCGACTTGGTGATATACTGATTAAACTGGGTGAGCCTGCAAAAGCGGAGCACCTCTACCAGATTCTCCTCGAAAAAGCTTCTTCTGATAATGATCGAGCAGAATACAATCTTCAACTTGGTACGGTGTATTCTAAAATGGGCGAGTACTCTAAGGCTCTTTCATCGTACGAACGATCACTCGAAATCCAAAAAATAGCTCTCCCTCCGAATCATCCAGACACGGCTACTTCCCACAACAATATCGGTTCGATTTATAGAAACATGGGCGAGTACTCAAAGGCACTTTCATCCTACCAACAGTCACTTGAAATCAAGAAAATAGTTCTCCCCCCAAATCATCCGAGCTTGGCTACTTCGTATAACAGCATGGGTATTGTATATAATAACATGGGGAAGTACTCGAAAGCACTTTCATCGTACGAACGATCGCTTGAAATCCGGAAAATAGCTTTCCCTGCGAATCATCCAGACTTGGCTGCTTCCTATCTTAATATTGGTTCGGTGTATTGTAGCATGGGCGATTATTCAAAAGCACTTACATCGTACGAGCGATCACTGGAAATCCGAAAAATAGCTCTCCCTCCAAATCATCCGGACTTGGCTGCTTCCTATCTCAACATTGGTTCGGTCTATTATAGCATGGGCGAGTATTCAGAAGCACTTTCATCATACGAGCGATCACTTGAAATTCAGAAAACAACTCTCCCCCAGAATCATCCAGATTTGGCTGCTTCTCACAACAACATCGGCAATGTGTATGACAACATGGGCGAGCACTCGAAAGCACTTTCATCGTACGAACGATCACTTGAAATCCAGAAAATAGTTCTTCCTCCAAATCATCCCAGCTTGGCTACTTCCTACAACAACATTGGTTTGGTGTATAGAAAAATGGACGAGTACTCGAAAGCACTTTCATCGTACGAACGATCGCTTGAAATTCGTGAAAAAGCTCTCCCTCCGAATCACCCGGACTTCGCCCAATCCTACAACAACATTGGTTTGGTGTATAGAAAAATGGGCGAGTACTCGAAAGCACTTTCATCATACAAACGATCACTTGAAATCAGGGAGAAAGCTCTTCCTCCGAATCATCCCGACTTAGCTGCTTCCTATCTCAACATTGGTTCGGTATATTGTAGCATTGGCGAGTATTCAAAAGCACTTACATCGTACGAACGATCAGTTGAAATTCAGAAAATAGCTCTTCCTTCGAATCATCCGAACTTGGCTGCTTCCTATAGAAACATTGGTTTGGTGTATAGAAAAATGAACGAGAACTCGAAACTAATTTAATCGTAGGAACGGTCACTTGAAATCCAGAAAATAGTTCTCCCTCAGAATCATTCGGACTTGGTTGCTTCCAGTAACAACATGGGCAATGTGTATGATAACATAGGGTGGTGTGGGTGGGTGTGGGTGTGAGTGTGTGTGTGGCTCTCGGTGTTGGTCTGGATGAGAGTTTGAGTGTGGCGTGGGTGTGGGTGTGGGTGGGGTGTGGGTGTAGGTGTGGGTGTGGATGTAGGTGTGGGTGGGGTGTGGGTGTGGGTGTGGGTGTGGGTGTGCATGTTGGTTTGTGCATTGTTGTCTGCGGCCACACCCACACCTACAGCCACTGCTACAGCCGCACTCAAACTCCAACCCACACCCACCTCCACACCCTAGTTCTTTTAGAAATCGAAGAAAAAAATATATCCTTTAGATTTTGTTTATTTAAATTTTTTGTTTCTACTTCAGATAATGAGTATTAACAATAATATTGTCACAGCTGCTTGTGTCTTTTTTAAAGCTCCTATTCGTCGTGGTAGTCTAACAACATCATCAGAACGTCGTCAAGATTCGTCATCATCATCTGATGATGAAAATCAACCATCAGCATCAACATTTTGTTCTTCACAAACAATTAAAAAAAGACCAATAACAACAAATAGTAATCATTCATCAAATAAACGTAAACGTCATCAACAACATATTGAAAATGATAATGATACAAATGATTCAATTACGAAAGAAAATTTTCTTGATGTTAAATTTAAATCTCATAGACAAGCACAAGGCCCAAAAGTTATGGGTGCAACAGCTACAATTGAAATTGATACTGATAAACAACATGATCAACAATCTATTTGTGAACGTGCGAAGAAAATTAATAAACAATTACAAGGAAAAGCAGATGATAAAATTTATCGTTGTATTAATAATTATCAACAATTTTCTGAGAACAAAGATACTACACAACGAAATACCAGTAGGAGTCGTGTTCGAAATAAAGGTTCGATATATTTATTTACATTTTTATTTATTAATATTTGAAGTGATTATTTTGTTTTTGCTTAGGTCCAATTCGTGCACCAGCTAATATTCGTATGTCTGTTCGTTGGGATTATCACTCTGATATTTGCAAAGATTATAAAGAAACAGGTCGTTAATAATCAATATTTTATCTGATATAAAGTTCGATTGTTACTGTTTGTTTCAAGTTATTGTGTTTTTGGTGATAGCTGTAAATTTTTACATGGTCGTTCTGATTATAAACATGGATGGCAAATCGAGCGAGAATGGAATGAACAATCTTATGGAGCCGTCGATGATGACAGTAAACGATATTATGTTAGAGATAAATATGATAGTCATACAAATCGTTTTCACCGTTCTCGTCATCATCATGCAACTGAATCAGATGAAGAAGGGTTCTGATCTATGCTAGTATACATGATCTTAGATTGTCTCTGTGATGTGCTTTTAGCTTTATATCTTTATCTATATTATTACATGTATTTTAATCCTATATTTTTGTGTGTATTATGAATCCAAAAATAAAGTTAGACTCATCTATCGCACAGCTTTGTATGGAATGGGCTGTGGGTAAAATTTTGATTTTCAATTTAATTATCTCAAATGATAGACTATCATTTGAAACTTCTAAATCTAAAATATCAACTCTTTCTGATATGCCTATGAAAAATGTCAAAGTACACAAGTCACATTATTTCTGGCACTCGGTCAAAAAATCGGATTTTTAAGGTGTTCTTAGTATTTTGCACTATTTTGATGTCTTTCAGTTGTTCGAGTTTGAATACATCTCAAAAGATATAGAAATATTTTCTTCACAAATTTGGGTAATTCACTAACCTCTACAATGCCATTTACCAATTGATGATGCCAATATACGGGCAAAAAGTTAGGCTTAGATCATATGAAATCATACTGTCTCAACATAATTTTTATATTTCCTGAAAGCTCTCGAATTTCTGTTTCATTTAAGTTATTACTTTATCAGACTACAACTATGGTGGCGAAAGTTAGTTCATACTACAAATGTTGAACAGTAATGTCCATCTCTGTCCATTGTGACCCATAATCAGCATGAAAAGTTGATTATAAAAACGTCATCTGATTGAATGTAGAGTTAATCAAGTTCAAATTATCCCGTTGAATACAGATAGCTTGACTACATCGTCAAGCATATAGTAATAGACTTCTCTAGTTTTTCATGAGAAGGTATGTAACCCAATGCTTTACTTCATTTAGAATCACTTGACTCTTTGCTTCAAAAACATCTATTTAGAAGTTTTAAGATTTTGTTTTATTTTTTGAGAAAATTGAATTTTTCTGGATGTTGATGTGAAAAGCGCAGAAAACTGTTAAAAGTATATGTCCACATTTGATAACTTTTATCATTATAATATATTCTGATGTCAAAACAAATAGTATATTCGGATTCAGTGTAAAAAACTACGTCGAATCACATACATTGTGTAAAAAAATAAGTTTTACTAAAATGTACGTAATTTGACAGTTTTTTGCGCTGATTCCGAATATCTTATTGGTTTACCATCAATATAAACTTTGATGATAAAAACTACCAAATATGGACATATTTTTATCAGTTTTCTACGTTTTTTCCAGTAACATCGAAGAAAATTCATTTTTTTTAAAGTAAAGCGAAACCTAAAAACAGCTAAAAGGTACTTTTGAGGCAAAGAGTCGAATAATTCTAAATGAGATAAAATTTCAGGTGATATATATTCTCACAAGAAACTAATATCGGCGCCAAAGGTCAAGGTAATTGGATGTTCTTCAAATAACTTTCAATAGAAACAAGACAGAGGACAAACGGGAACATCCAAGCATCTCGATTTTCATTCGTCCAAAAATTGACTAGCAAGGTGAATTTCTCAATACACGTTTTGAGGACAAGATTCCAAAGAAATTTTCCATTACACATTGTTTTGTGATAATATACGTGAGGGTGAGGCGTGGATGTTGATCTCATTTTCAGCTGCACCCATACCCTTATGATTGTCATTGTTGTTCATCTCAGCAAGGTGGAAAGCACTACAGAGAAGATATTTTGTCTCACTGCCAAAGGAAACGACTTGAAACCTTCGAGAAAGTGAGGAAAAGCAAGATTATCTTTCTGCATTGTTTTTATCTTTTTTTGATGGAGAGAAGTAGGCGAAAGAGAGAGCGAACTGATAGAGACATTGTTTTTCTTTTATCAGTCTAGAATGTCTTTGTTGTCTAATCTGAAGATGCTATGCAACAAAGAAAAGAAGGAAATGGGAACACCAACAGATGTAAGATGTTGTTCGAAAGGATCTTATTGAAAATACCAGAGCAGAAGAATAAGGATTTAGTGACTGAATCAGGGATCCTATTTTTGCTAGAAAGAATGTTTATGAGACATTTGCTATGAGATTCATATAAAATTTATGTTAGGAAGTAGAGATTTTAACTGAACGAATAACTATGAAATTACATGCATGCTTTAACATAAATATCATGCGACCGAATTCATACAGAGCTCTTATCATTGAGTAAGGATGCTTTTATGATTTCACATGGGTATACTGAATGAAGGCTTCATGGAACCTTCTATAAATACTATATGCAGCTTCTGCCATGTTATAGGAACAACCAAGGATGCTGATGAAGAACTCCGGCGATGCTACAGATACTAACTGGATGTTGAAAGCATTTCCTGTAATGGTACAGAGACCACTCACAATGCTAGACAGAACATTTACAATTCAAAAGAGAGATGAATACTTCTTTCGTGTGTATTTTTCCTTTCTATCATATTCTTCATTAGATATTTCCCTTTCTTGTCAGAGTGTTGGTGTAACTCAAGAAAGACCAACACACACATCCTATACCAATCCACATCCACACCTTCCTCCTAATCACACAAAAATCAGTTTTCTATACTTTTCAAAAGTACTTTACTATAATGTTCATATTTTATCTAAATTACTTCAGCTGGTCTTTTCATTGTTTTGTGTCATTTCTAGTGACTTGTTTCTAATTTTAGTTAAAAAAAAGAAGTTGTTTTTTTCCATATTGATATTGAAAATATGATTTCTCCTCAATGAAATTTAATTATCATTTCTTTTAAAAACCGACATATGATAGACCTCCAAAGTGATGCTAAAATTAGCATTATTGTTCTATTGAACTTGACCAATAGAAAGTCATGTATCACATCACATATCCTAGGAATCATGAAACATAGAAAAAGACACTGATAAGTTTTTTTTGTATATCTTTTAGGTACTTCAAGATTTTTTGCTTCAATTAGTCTGAACATTTGCAAATTTTGTTTAAAAGATTTTCTGACAATCAATTCTTCTATTGTAGAAAAATACGTTGAATCGAAATGATTATCAAAAGAATTCTGACGCCCGTCGTGTGGAAGTAAAAGACTTACATTATGTTTTACTTATGAGAGCAGTAAAAAGTTATAATTTACATTTCAATGAATAGATAATGATTTTAGTCATATTTATAATGAAGAAAAAAGAGAAGAATCATCCTATAAAAGTAGATATCATGCACAAAGTACTTTTTAAAAAACCATTATCAGTCTAAATAAAACAAGTGAAAAAATTCGCAATAGAAACACATTGTACTTTTTCATTTGAAGATTAATATTATATAACATTGACTTATTTTGTTGATACAAAATGAATCCAAGCGAAAGTGTTTCATCAACATCTTCGGACGCAATGCTTGATCGTTATATAAAATTATATTTATTTACATCATAGCAATGCCGTCAATATTAATATCAATTTATATTTTATATAAATTTATTGTTGATCGTCAATTTTGTTCTCACATAAATAATCACTCAATAATTGCAATGATTATTATTTCATTTATAGATACAACAACAGAATTACCAATAACACTTCAATATCTTCGTGTGGGTTATGTTCAACCAGATGCAAAAACTTTTTGTTTATTTTGGATTTGGTATGTTTTTGCTCTTCAAACAGCTAATGTATCTTTAATGACATGGACGTCAATCGAACGACATATATTAATATTTCATTCACGTTGAATTCAAACAGAAAGAGGAAAAATAATATGGCATCATATTCTATTGATTTTCTGTGTAAAATATATTCCAATATTTTATTTTACATGTATTGTTTTATATCCATGTGAGAATTTTTTTGAATATTCATTATTTCTTTGTGGTCCTATTTGTTACAATAGTGTTACTTGGCTATCAACTTTTGATTGGATAACAAATGTATTACTTCTATCAGTATCAATACCATTTGCAAGTAAAAGTTTATTAGCTCGTGTTTTATTTCAAGCAAAGAAAATGAAACGAATATTAACATGGCGATCAACAAGAAAATTAACATTACAATTAATGGTTATTTCGATTCTTTATTTATTATTTTGATTTCCTTTAGCTGTAGTATCAATTATTCGTATTTGTTTTATTCCAACATTCATGTTTGAAGTATTTTATTATTATTTATATTATACACCATATTTTGTTCAACTTTTAATGCCATTTGTTTGTATCGTTTGTTTACCTGAAATATGGCCAAAAAAGAACCGTATTGCAAACATATCATTATTTACACAAAATCGAGCTCAAACAAGACTTTAACAACAATGATTATCTTTTAGATAACTTTCATTTTCTTTTTCAAATATTGACAAGCTCTTTCTTCTACTATTCTCTCAACTTAGTTTTCATATACAATTGTCATTCATTTTCAAATAAATGTACTTTGTCTTATGAAATTTCTATCAAATTTTGTTCAAGATAGAACATAACTGAAATGAAGACAATCAATATTTCATGGTCGAATACTATCAGACAAGTTTACAAAAAAGATGTTTATAAATCTATGCTTTGAGACATGTCAAGTTATCTATGTATTCAACAGGATACTTTTGACTTGATTAACTCTATATTCAATCAAATACCATTTACGCGAATCGGATTGTCTACAGAATTGTGAACGTATTACTTCACTGTATTCCATGATGAATGACAGCAATGTATACTAATAATATCAACTTTTCACATTCATTCTAGTTGAAGTGAACTGAAAACAGACAAGAAGAATGAATACACAACAGAAATGGAGCTGACTAATAATGCTACTGAGATCACGAAAATAATAAAACCTAATGCTTGTCACAATGCATAGATTCTTGATTGGGTATAACAAATATTTATAATTATTTCATTTTATTTTATTCATTAATTACATGCACATGCATAGATACGAAAAAAAAAGATAATTTTAAAATGCAAGCAAACGAAATTTCCAATATTGATTAGATTGTGACTGTTAAGCCGGCTAAAATAAAACAGATATAATTTTTAAAAAAAAATAATTTTTTGTAAAAGAAAACTTACTGTAAAATTCATGATAACATGAATTTCTCCATGAGATGATAAACCTAATTTAGCTGGTAATTTTACCCATTCATCAAATCTTCCATCATCAAAAACGTGTTTCAATTTTGCTTTACCACTTCCAATTGAATCTCGACCAACAACATCCGCATCATAAACATCAAAATGAATTGTATCATCACCTTTTTGAAGATTAAATGTAAAACGTTGATTCCATGTTGGATTATTTGAATTGGAAATAGTTGTTGTACGTTGTTTATACTTTTTATCTAAATAAATTTCCACATAAGCATCATTTTGACCAACAATATCTCGATCTTTGAGATGACGTCCTTCAACAATAATGACTTCAAGTGTACCAGTTGGCATTGTGTAGATGTGTATTTAGTTTTAAGAATAGACAATATAAAGTATGTTGCTTCAGTTTCATTTGTGTTATATATATATACAAAAGTAAAGAAAAAGCACGCCCTCGAACGACGTGTTCTTAATTTTCTACCGTCATTCGTTCTTATCTACAGATGTAAATGTTATCGTCAATAGACGATGACTCAAGTTTTTCTTTTTCTATTTGCTTTGTAATGGCAAAAAAGAACGTCAGAAGGAATCGGATCAATCATCGTGAGCATTACAGAGTGAATCAGATCTTTTTTCTTATTGCGATTCTAAAAGATGGAATAAAAGACAAAATGATTGATTCTTATTGATAGGTCATTGTGACGCATTTAGCTTTGATAGGACACAAAACGGCAGTACCATTTCGTCGTAAATATAACTTTAAATGTAAAAAATGACTTCGATTGTCTATTTCAAATTTTATCAAATACATACATTTTCAAAGCATTTAGTCGATAGATTAATACGATCAAACATCTGTACTAAATAAGAAATCATATTTTTTCAAAGGGATTCTTCGATAATTTCAAATAGAGTAAATAATAAATGTTTTATCAAAAGAAAGCTTGCCGAAAACGGGATATATTCATAGTTTTTAAACAATAAGGCTTATGAAGACTTTCGTATGTCGAATTCTCGAAATTTGTAATCTTTTACCACCTGTCCAGCTTTTTATCACATTTAGTTCGAACTTTATCTCATGAATAATTGTTTAATATTTTTTTTTGTTTGAAGTTATCTGAATCAAGGATAATATTGAATAAGGAATTGCAGGATTCAATTTATTTCGTTTCCTTTATTTTTCGTTTATGCAATAGATGAGCAAGTAATTTTCTATGAGTCTAGATTAATAAAAAATAATATTGTTGATCATACATGTTGATAAATACTTTACTTGAACGAGAAACAATCAAAGATTAATATTGTTAATATTCATCCAGAATCAGTATTAGAGAAGAAAACAGCAACTGTAGGAAATACATCGAACGACATAACCATTAGGGTTCAATCTCAAAATGAATTTTGCTCGGATTTTACTCATAAGATAGATCAATGATTTCATAGTGACGTTCTACAACAGCAATATTAGTCGTCGCAAACTCATCAATTTATCGTCAGAAAACAATTTTTTCTTGTTCTTTTATTTGAGTTTGAGTTAAGATGTTTTTATTGAAAAAAAGTTCAATGCGATACACAAGCATGCAAGTGATTCTTCTCCTGTCCTTCTTTGTGTCTGCTCGATTCATCAATTCGACAGATTTACGCGCAAGTTTCCTCGTAGAAAACAACATATTGAAATCAAACTATGGACATTCACTAATGTGGTTTCATCGAATAGTCATCATAAGTTCATGTTGAATTCTGTTGTTGAGGACCATCGAGTTGATAAATAAACAGAAACAAAGAGGGTACCAGGAATAAGAAAGCAGACGATGAATGGAATTCGAATGAACGAAAATCTAAACAATGGGACGACGTGATTGACAGAAATTGCCAATCCATTGATCAAGTTCATCGATGTGATAACTGAAGGTATCCTTGTCTAGTTCGGCCTTCAAGACGAGTTCTCCATTGTGGATAACATAGAAACGAAATGGCCATGATCCATATGTCAGATGAAAAGTGTTATCCATACTATCTACGAGCATAGGTACTTCAAATTTGCAATCCTTCTGACATTTCAGAGCATTCTCAAGGCGTTGTTCAAGTGTGGTTGGCTGATCTACACATGATATGATTTTGCCCATAGGCCATTGATCACGTGCATGTGCCTCGGCAATATAAACTACCAAGAAACGCAAGCCATCGGACGCATGCGAGCGAAATAGCGCGCTAAATCAGATTGATAATAAGTATACAGTTAGATTATATTAGAATTAAATACTTAATTCGCTCGGCAGACGCCCGAAATGGAGGTCAGCTAGTTGAGCCGGCCAAAATTACCAATGGTTGATCAGCTATGATTTGTGAGAATAGATTGGTGGGCTGACCGTCTGTAGTATACAATTCGACGTCAAGCGCGCATTGGCCTTGATTGATTAGACCTTGTGTGGTCTTGTTGTGCTTCACTAGAAATGAATAAATAAAATATCACGCGTATCGCAGAAAAACATCATGACTTTCGCTCGGAAAATGTATTCTTGCAAAGCATGTTAATTTCAGACTATCAAAAACTCTCTTTGTATCTATATTTATTGCTATGACTTACCATAATAAGCTGATTTCACTGTGGGATCGTCTGGAAATCGATGCAAAGCGGTTCGTAAGGCATTGACATGATGATATCCGAAATGTTCCACGACATGCTGTTGAATGAGATCGAGTATGAGTCTTCAATTTCATAGCAAACATTGGTTTAAAGTACGAGAATAAGTACAGAAGTAAAGCTTACCTCAGTGCAGCTTCATCCTTGTGATAAGAATCCATGAGCTCTTGAATTGGTTCGGATAATCGGATACTTGTTTCATAAGCGATCATCTCACGTAAGGTATCGATCGGGGGTAATTCATCCGATACTTTGACTTTGTCAAAGCCTATACGACCCGACGTGGGAAAAAACATCAGACATCTGGCTCGTGAAAAATCATCTGGAGGGTCAGGGGGTGGTTTGCGTGAATTATCTTCTCGCTTCAGTCGTGTGAAGAGAGAACCTAGTGCCTTTTTTTTTTTTTCGATAGCCGACGGAGATTTTTCGTTAGCTGCAATTGCCTCTGCCGTCTTCTGTTCAATGCTGGTCTGTGCTTGATTTGCGGCATTCTGTTTGTCCTGTTGTTGCACATTTTGAGTGCCGTTCGACGGCGTTTGAGTACTAGCCATTCACGGAACTTGTTTTAATGTGCGTATGTAGAAGAAATATGAAACACTCCACGTTTTATATAACAGTATGCAAAGCGTCGTAAGCAAACAGAGCACGAACAAGAATGGGTAAAAACGTCATTTGTGATTTCACCATCACTTGATAACAATCGCCATGTTTGTTTTGAGAAGCAACACGTTGAGAGGAATGCGATAGAATGAATCATCGACACATGACGTGACTTTGCATCGCAGAAAATAGTTAGTGACTCACCTTTTTTCTCAAAGTCGTACACTGATAGTTCTTCTGCAAGCAACTTCTGATGCTTTGAAAACTTCATTTTATGTAGAAATTTTAGTCGCTTGTGTACAACATTTACTCTAGGATTTATGCATCAATTCAGACAAGATTCAAATCACTCATGTTCACTATAAGTTGACCACCAATATTAGTAACCCGTACATGGGGCACACCGCACATGAACGAAGCAACAACCATATTCGACCTTTACGAGCACCATTTGGCAATATTTCGTATAGAACTGGGAGTGTATGGTGTAATCTTTCTATTTATTCAATGGAGAGCCACCGATTCACATCCAAACACATCCACATATTCATGACCGCATCAAAAAGATAATTATCTTCATTGGAATATCTGAAAATCTTTTTTTTTTCTTAAGACAGGTGTTTTTAGGCAGACGATAACAAAAAAGAAAGTGTCAGCTAGCGAATCTAGGGATAGGTCTTAGCTATCACTACTTTTTCTTTTATGCCGCAGCAAACTCTTCTAAATAAATAACAGTTATAATTTGAGGCTGTGAAAAACGAAACATCAAAACCCTGCAAGACGATCCACGCATTTCATTTCGGACAGGAGCTGGATTTGTCAAGATCCAAGACGCGAGTGATCTGTCTTGTCTAATCAGCTTTTTCTTCAATTCACCTAGACAGATAATAAGCTTGGCTAATACTAACTCGAATTATTATTTTCCTATCTAATTAGTTACCAAATTAGGAAACATTTTTCAATTAATTAATTATCTGTATATTCTTTGAAATCATGGTTCAAAATACTTCGAGTAACTCAGTCAAAACTGAAATAGAGCAGAAAACCTTGAGGTTCCTGTTGGTAAATGGCTTCGTACTACTCAGCACACTATGAAGTGGAAGAGCTTTCAATTATAGAGAACATTGTGAATCCAAGACCCGAAGGTTCAGACCCGATTCTATTCCAACAAACAAAAAATAAGTGAATATTTCTGTCCACTGGAGTCATATGTATCAACAAAGAGAGCGGAGCCCGATCAGGCAAGACTAAAAGAAAAACGCATTAAAACACGTTAAGATTTCGTTAAAACGCTGTTTTAACGGTTTATTGACCGCGTTTTAGCGCGTTACAACATCTCAACGTTAAAATATGTAGATTGTTTTGTGGATTTACGCATTATTACGAGTATTTTTCTTATCGAGTTTTTATTAAGTGCAACATTCACTCGTTACTTCTGTTTTCTTCTGAAGCAATAAAGCTCCTTTTAACTAATGAGTTCCTCAATACTAGTAGAAAATGGATAATCTTTTGTAGGATAAGTTATACTTATATAAACACGCCTATTATTTTTTGAAACTTTTAATGCAAATCAAAGATCATTGTTAAAAAAATCATTAAAAGCATAGGACACTCCTTAAACAGATGGAGCTTCTTTTGCTCCTTTACAGGTTAGAGTATGCGACTCCACATCATACATCGTTTCACTTGTGTGAATTCTTTTGCATGAAGTATAAATTTGTTTTCATTAATTTTTCTTTTACGCATATGATACTTCTTGTGATATTGGAAGAGTTAACAAAAAAGATTAACTCATAGATTTCCTATGTTTTTTAATAATTCATTACAAGTACTTCAAAATGAAACACCAAAACGAAAATAAATTTTGAACGAAAAAGAAATCTTTAACAACAGACGAGAGGAGCTGATCATGTAATTCTATCTGATTTTCAATTTATGAGATTGAAAGTTTCTACTCATATCACTTCAACGAGTGGCAATTATATACAATAAAATTTAAAAATCATAATATAAAACTCTCTGAAAAATAGCCTGTCATAAAATTGAATACTCAAATGTATGACATGTTATGAATCACTTACATATGTGCATTGCTTTTATCTTCTTTAGCTATCTACCCAATTTTCTGATAGCAGCTTTTAAGTTATCTATCTTAACCGATACTTCTTTTATTCTTTTTTTTTATAATTCTCCATATTTACTTGAACCTAGAATATCAGTCGTAAGTATTTGAACAGCTGTGTTTCTTGATGATCGATTTTCATAGGTTTGACTGTTTCTATCGGCTAATCAAATAATTGAATGGTCTATATCAAAACTAAAGAAATAAGAAAACTTGACAATGATGACAACAACTAAGAAAAAAGTATTTAAACCTGTTTATATTTTTACTAAAGCTATCATGGATAATATTGTCACCGCCAACCGGTATGCTAAATGAAATACTATTGGGTGTGGGTATTCTATTCACCCACACCCACACCCATATAGGTTTTGTGACATTGCAAAAAACAAGTCGCAATCGTTGATGCTAACTGAAGCTTTGGTTGATATCCACCGCTGAAGAACAAGATGATTATTAATCCGTTTAGAACAATCAGAACGAATTCGAGCCCCATCAAACTGGTCAGTCCGGAAATCTCTCCTTGTATGCGATCACGAAGCGGAATGTACTGATAGAAAGTAAAGAGAGAGATAATCATAAAAGTGATAAAATTCATTTCCAAATAGCCATTATTGTAGTGAAAGTAGGTTAAAATTCCTCTACCAATCACAAAGCCACATACAACGTAGGAGACATTCTAATTTTTTTCGTAGTTTCTACGATGAACAACGATATTGGGTAGCACAAGGACATGCTGATAAATATACGGAGGATTTCATATGTTTGTCAAATGATCATTGTCCATTCATCCGTTATATTCAACCAAGTATTAGGCGCTTCAGTAATGAGCACAATTTCTTCCAAAATGAAAGCAACGAGAGGATGTTTGACAAATGTCTTCAAGAAAACATTCGTCACATGTTCTAAGACAATGAGAGAGCAATTGTATTTGCTCACAAATAACTCACACTATGACCATCTCATCACGACTGCAACTGAGTACCATGTTTACAAAGATAGATAGACCGAAGACGATGAAAATTTGTTTACACGCACGATCACCACGAACAATGAAGAAGAACGCAATGAAGTATAAGACCAAACACATTTTGAATGTTTTTCATTCTTTAAGAAAAAAGGAGTCAAACAACGGTATCTTTTTGAAAAATCATTGACTATATTCGAAACTCATATACTATTGATCAGTTTTTGAAATATTTATGTAAATACGATATCGAATGTAAAAATTTTTGTAAAGTCCAGCGTGAACATGTGTTACTATTAAATGAACATGGTTTTCGAAATGTAATAAGTTTGATTTTAGCGAACAGTTCATTGAAATTTCACAGATAATATCGTATTCTTGATGTAGATATTAATAATTTATTTGTAGAAGAAGATTACTGACGTACACTGGAAATATCTACTGATCTAGCATGTAGTAAACTGCCAAATTCAAGTAATTTGAAAACAATTATCGAAAATATAAAAGAAACAAGCGTTTTGGAGTATTACGTGATTTTGATATTGAAGATCACATAGAGAAAATGATGAAATGTGATTGAACAAGGTTGATGATGGAAAGTGAAGATGAATATGAGCAATTTGATACCAAATCCAACAATAACTATGACTGTGATTGGTAGAAAGACATAGTTTAATGTGATGAAAGATTGTGCAAAACTGTATACATGTTCTTCATCTTAAACGAAACTTGCATTTTTATGGTTATGTTTAATATTTTTTATTGATATATAAGATATTCTTGAGAAATAATGAAAGTGCAACCGGTAGAGACTTTTCAGAGGCAAAATACGTTAAGTAATAATATGTATTACATGACGTAGTCAACAAGACTACTTCACTGAATTGCATTGAAAGTAATGCCTGCCTCTGCAAAGGTACGAATTATAGTGTTATTAGTTCTTTCAGCAGAAACAATGTTCATTAATTCTCGAAAGAATGACTTGTTGTTGATTGTAAAAAAGAGTTAGACTTAAATAGAATGGCATGGAAATGACGATGTTCGACTCATGCTCTACAAGGATATTTGAATCTATTTTATCCGACATGTATGTATTGTGAGTGCATTTCTTTTCTAGCAAAACGTCATTTAATTTCTTATTTTTTGTTTTACCACTTCATATGACTACAGAATATTGTAGCTCATATATTCTCATTAATATATATCAACTCTAGATTGTCAGTGACGATGAGAAAGACGCATATCTGAATTAATAATAATGTAAGAAAAAAGTGTAAGAAGATAATTAATATTTAACATCGTTCATTCTTTCGACAAGCTAACGTTTCTGACATCTCACTCTCATTAATACATTGAAAATGGCAAGCACTATAATTAGCAATGAAATTCTGCGCCTACAATCAGTATCTGACGCACTTAATGGCTATCTCGCTCTAGTTGTTCTTGCTATGGGTACCGTGGGAAATATATTGAATATTATCGTATTTATTCGTATCAAAAAATTTCGTCAAATGTCGAATTCCATCTTTTTATTGACTTCCTTTGTCGCTAGTATAGTACTTGTTTGGACAGGCCGTTTTCCTCAAGCTTTAACTATTCTTACTGGTATTGATATAGCAGCAGCATCACCATTCTTTTGCGCATCTCGTACTGTATTCGGACGTATTAGTCAAAACTTGGCTTTGTTATGTATTGGCTTAGTCAGCATCGATCGTTTCCTTATTACTTCACGACATGAACATTATCGGCGTCTTCTTACTAAGTTACGAGCTACTCTTATTGTAACGATATTGTTTCTTATTTATTTAGCAATTTCCATTGAAGATGCAATCAGCTATTATTGGGCACGTTCATGTAAATCTCCGAATGCACCTTTTGCATATACACAATTCGTCTCATACTTCAGTTGGGTTGTCACTTTCGGTGTACCACTAATTCTAATAGGAATATTCAGTTTGTTCACTTGGCAAAATCTTCGATTTTCTGTGCACGGTCGACGAAATCGTCTTCAACAACAGGTTAATCGAATGATGTTTGCGCAATTCGGTTTGATGTTTTTTAGTACATTGCCTATTATTCTAATGAGAGTTTATCGGTTGGTTACTGAGTCTCAAAAGAAATCTTTACTACAGAATACACAAGAAACTCTTATATTTTATGTCGCTACCACTCTCGGCTATGCATCACCGATCGGATCTTTCTATATTTATTTTATTGTATCACCAGTTTTTAGACAGAATGTGCGAACAGCTCTAATTTGCAAGAGATTCACTCGTGTCACACCATTTACTTTCCGAGAGCCACGTATTGGAACAAATCCTACGTAACAAATATCTAAAGTCGACCAGTGTCTATTTGTTCTTTTTGTTATTTATTTATGTTGCTTGACTAATTTAATGCAGTGTGTTAATAAAAGGGAATATGATTCATGATCAGTAAATTAAATAGATGATCAGTAATTAGCCCCTTAACTGTTAAATTATTTTTGTAACTATATAGTAAAATTTTTGTATAAAAAATTACAAAAATTTATAGATACTTTTGGATTATAAGATAGGAAACTTCTGCAACAAATATGTTTTATCATTTTACATACAAAACAGAAGTTGTTTTTCAATAACAAAGCACAAAAAACTTAATTCTCCAAAATTGTTTTCGAAATTCAAAGCTTCGTTCAAGAATTCAGCAAGGTAGGATGCATACGAAAGCATGAATCAACACAAAGTGCAATGCTACAAATGCACATTCATATCTCCATTCATGTCTTACTCAATTGTTTTTATTTTCTGTATTGAAAATGGCAACTTTATTGCAATAGGAACAATCAATTCAATAATAGTATTTAGGAGCAAATTCATATTGAATATGAATATTGGTACAATTGACACAAAAGAACATGACTGATATAAAACATCAAAACCGATGGAGTGAGATCCAGTGAGTGCAGAATGTTAAAGTGAATACGGCATATGCAAAGAAAACTAAATTAAGGAATTGCAGTCTTCATGTTTCCATAAAGATCGCTTTGACGTATATGTAATTTACGTCAAGGGTGTGGGTGTTGGCGAGTGAGTGCAGGCTGAGGGCGAGAGTGTAGATGTGGATACGGATGTAGCTCTTCGCTTGGTCTTTATCATTCTTCTACATCAACACCCACTCACACTCTGGTCTTCTATATACTTGTTGTTCACATTGAAACATTTTATTGGAGGTGTAGATATCTCGCATCAACCGTAATATCAACCTATGTTCAATATTCATTTGGGAAAATATACCATATTATCGCCTGAATTCGATTACATATTTTATCAAATCTAGTAAATAACTTTTTTTCTTATTATGAACAAAAAAAATGAAGTGAAATATGTAATAAGTTGGATAAGCAAAAATCGATAGCTAACCATTTGAAAACGAGAATTGATTTTTTTTTAAAGTTAAGCAAATTCAGGTTGGTTCAAAGAAATTAGGTCCATATCAACTATTTCAACTTAGTACAGATTCTCACTAGTATTATTCAACATTTTTTTGATCATGATTGTCAGCCAGAATTATTACCGTATTGGATAGAACTTTTGCATCCATAATTAATTGAATCCATTAGATATTCATCGAAACTTTATTTCATACACTTCTTTTTCACTAACATTTAGGTTTGAGAGACCTTCAGTCTTGTCGATTACTGTATATCTTTATTTCAACCATGGCAGCATAACATAATATTTCAATGATTATAATTTCATTCTTTCCATTGTTGTCTACCACTGTAACAGATTGGAGGTCAACAATACCTCAATACCATTGTTTCTCTTTGTTCTATATTTTAATTCAAAATCATTGCAGGCAGCATCGATCGTCAATATTATTTACCTTATTAGTCTGATGCATCACAATTTATTCCACGTGATCAAACAGGTGTCCTTTGAATTCATAAGTGTGCACCAGGTATAATATTTGATCCTGAAATAGGTGTATGCAATTACCAATATGTTGTTATCGAAACTGGTAAAAAATAAAAAACAAAATAAACTTTCAATACGAATATTTCTTTTTTATTAAATAATTAATTTCACTCAAATACAACACAATGAATTCATTGTTATGAGTTGAACAAAAAAGATTCGGTTACGTCGTTCTTTCTTTTTTTTTTCTATAGAGTGCCTGTCTTTTTCTATAATACTTTTATCGATGGATTTAAATTAGTTTCTTTTTATTCTAATTTTTCTTACGAATACTTACAATATCATAATTAAACATAAGAATGTCTATTCGTTTTATTTCATGTCTTTATTTTTAAAAATTGAAATAAAAAATGTAGTAGCTAGTGTTGAGCTCATCATATACCTAATCCAATCACTACCTTTGGTTCAACTGGATCTGATACGTACGTAATTAATATCCACATTGGATAAAAATAAATTTACATCAGCATATTTTTTATTTCATTATAAAATGAAGAAAAAAAATAATTATTTTTTTTATTAATTCAAAAAACAAAGATTTATGCATACACTTCATTCATACCTTTGGTTGCGCATTATTACAAAAGAAAAGCAATCACTTTTCAGTATTCTTTTTGAATTGAATCGACAAAAAAAAACAATAGATGATATGTCACATTTATAAAGAAATCTCCACTAATGGTGAATGCAATGCCAGAAGTTCTGCATTCTAATTCACAAAGATTCTTATGAGAATCTGACATACCACATCCCTGGAATTTATTGAATTATTCTGAAATTTGTCTCACCTCAGAAGCATTTCGTCAATAGCCAACGCCATACGGAAATAAAAACCCTTCGCAAATGACATCAGTACCAACTTCTTATCAACAAGAATTGATTCCAATGAAAGTTACTCCTGGACATTCATTTCAACCAATATCAATGACATCACAATATAAAGATCATTCGGCAGGTTATAGTAATTCATTTAAACACAATCGAATTGCACCACAACAACCAGATGATAATATTTCTTCCATATCAAATAATTGTATGTTATTAAAGTTAGATTTTAGTAATAGAATTCATTGTTTTTTAAAAGTTTCTCACACTCCATTATCAATACATTCAACAAAAGAACTTATTCAACCATCACAAATGTATTCACTAAAACAACGAACAATGGATTCAATTTATTCTAATAATTCACATCAATCATATTCTCCACAAAATAGTTATATGAGTAAAGTTGATCGTAATTTTTCCATTTTTTACAAATAATACAATTAAATATTTTTCAGAAGATGTTCATCTTGATGATCTTGAACAAAACGATAAATCAGTTAGAGCACAAACATTTTTCTCATTAAATCTAAATATTTATTTTTCAGACTTCATGTTGTGGGCAACCATTATGTTTAGGTTTAACACGATTCACTGGTGGAATTCTATTTGGAACAATAATATTACTCGGTCCTACATCAATCGGTGGTCTTATTGCTTCAGCTATTTTATATGTTAATGGTAAATCTATAAATCTTTTTTATTCGAGTGACTATATTGATTTAATGTAGATCCATATACAAATTCACAATGGAAAATGTTAGGCATACTTGTCTGTTCTGCTATGTTAATAGCAATACTTATCACATTATGTTTATTTATGTATGCCTACAAACATGATCGAACTGCTAATCACGACAATAAAAGTAGTTTAGCAACATCAGAATGTAATCAAGAAGGTGATTTCCAAAAAACAAACCATTCTAATCGATTGTATGATATATCATCACCATCATATGAAAAGATTCGAAAGATTTCAGCTTTCTCAACAAATGAATCATTGCCCAATCAAATCGATCAAACAATATTGCAACAAAAAAATAATGTAATCAACGTTACACCGAAAACAATTATTCGACTAGAAAATGATCATCAACATGATGAAGAACAACATCCAAGTCGATTTATTGAACAAAAACCACGACATGACATTGTTGAAAAAATTATTGAAAGACCAAAAAGACGATCAGTAGAAGAACATGTAGAATTTACTAAATTATCAAAAAACGATGAAAAACAAATTGGCAACAGAAGAAAGGGGAAAAAGTTTAAGAATGTTTCTATTAAACGTGTCAAAGCAGTTGAATAACCAAATGTTACCCAAGATAATTTTAAAACTGATAATTTTTATTAATAAAATATTTCCTTCGTATTTTTTGTTTTTGATAAATAACAAGAAAAGTAGTTAAAGAAGGATACACTTGTGCAGTTGAGAAAGATTTTAATCCGATCTTTATTGTATTTATCGAAGAAAAAATGAACAAAAAGATTTCCAAAAACAAGGAGACATTTTTATTGTGATTACCAGTCAAAATCCATGATTTAGCAGCTGGTAGCTGTCAAAAAAATCCATGAATATAGTCTATAGCTTTTATCATTGTGAGAATCTGTTGGCAATGCAATTTTCAAGTTTGTTGTATAATATTCCGCTTTTGGCGATTTAATACTGATAAAATCGATTGAAAGATTTTGACCATTGATCTAAGACATTGATGAATCTAATTAAAATCGAATATTTAACCATGAGATTTGAATGTAGAATTTTTTTGTAAATATATTTGACTAATTATTATCAACAAGGCGAATTTATAAAAAAAATAAATCTGGATATTGAAGGCAAATCTAAACATAAAATTAATAATAGATTTTAACCGAATTCATTAGAGTTTCTTTTTATATGAGCGTTTATATTGACTTTTCTGCTTGGCTAATCAACACATATATTCCATTCATAATATAATCATGAATGGATTTAACTATCATATCGTAAAAATCAAAGATTTAATCAGACTTACTCTTCGTAGATCTGACTCTCTCTTGAGAAACCATGAATCTCGTCAGTCTTTTGTTGTCTGTCATCCATTTTCCTCTGCTTGACTTGCATATTCTATTTCCATAATCACCAGAGATGAGTACAGGACAGAACGGCACCACGTCCTGCCCTGTGCTTACCTCTGATATTCAAATTTCTCGGCAATGATGTGAGTGTGGGTGTCGAGAAAATGGAGCCACACACCCTTTCTTCGTTCTATATTATTATATTGCTGCAGGTACTTCAATAGTAATCGACGTAGCCACAGCAAGAAGTTGTTACTGGTCATTTTACTTAAACAGGTTGAACCAGTAAACATGTATTCAGTTTTTTGTCGTCTACTTTTTCTGGAAATTAAATGAAGAAGATTTAAGTTCAATTACTGCTAATATTAATCGAATAGTTATAATAATATCAAGAATGACATACTCAAGGTTTATCAACGGACTATGCTTAAAACTATATTGTTTTCAATGTTTCTTCAACAGCTGGATAATAGGAACTGAACAAATACATTGTGCGCATGTTACTTGTGATAGTTAATTAAATATTGAATGTATGCTTAATCTATATTGTTGCAAGGTTCAAATAATGCTGGACATACTTTGAACCAATGATAGTTTCATGGTCTTGAATATTTTTTTTTTACAAAGTTTGAATAAAGTAGAAAATTAACTAATTAAAAACAAACTTGCATGTAACGACATTCACACAAAACTCAATTTTTTACAGAATTCACTGTAATAGCAATTGAAACAAATACATATTATAAATTTTGCATGATGTCCACTATCAATTAATAAAAAAAGAGCGTTTAAGCAACAGTGATGGTTTCAGAAGAAAAAAAAAGCTTTTTTACTCAGTGCCTTTTTGAACAAATATATTAGTAAAACAAGCGCCTCCTTCATGCTCTTATTTGAGAGTTTGTCAGACTATTCTTCTATATGTCTGATGTCTTCATGATTAGCATAAATACTTTTGAACACAAATATAGGTTTTCCAAAAGTCCTTTAGAAATAAGTTCTTAAACAACCAGTGACATTTTCCCAATCAGTGCCCAAGAGTGCATTGAATGATGTGCGGTTTGTTCATTTTTCAAGTAAAAAATTTTTTGACAAAATTCTTGAATATATCGTAGGGAAAAATGCGCTTTTGACAGAGAAAAAAATTGTTTCAACATGCTTTATAGAACTCCCTATTGTGTCTTAGTCATACTGCACTACGAAATCATGATGGGATGAAAAATCAAACCTCGAAGGGTCAGAGATATATTAAACATGGATCAGAATTTAAGTAATGAAAATAAAAACTAAATGTTGCATATTTATCTATACTCAACTTATGCAAGAATATAGTTAGAAAAATTATAAAGGTATTTTTCGTAAATATAATAAATTAAATCTTTCAGTCAAAGCACATGAAGAAAAAATGCATTTGTTCATTTTACAATACGATTGTTGACTGATAAAGTAATTCAATTAGCATTGGAATGTAATACAATTTCATTTCATTAGTTAATGTATATTTTATACATAGTTGAACTTCTAATTTTAATTCAACTACATGGTTTTTTTTGTTATACAATATAACAAAATATACATTTTTTTTTTTTATTTGAGAAAAGCTAAGTTTTTGAACTAATTGGTGGTTTTTTTGTAACTTTTTGTAATAGTTGAAGATCTTCTTTTTTATGAGAAACTTTGTTTGTAACTCGAAATACTGGTCGACTTTGACGTATACCATCTTGTGTTCGAGCAAAGAATGTTCGAGAAACCATAGGATCTCTTTAAAAAATAACAAATTACATTTCATTATCAAAAAAGAAGATTATCAATTTACTTTTTCAAAAATTCAATTAATCTTCGCGTTTCACATGTTCGTGAATCATTTGAACCATAAACAAATTCTTGTAGATCAAGACACTATAAAAATAAATGTATCTTTTTTTTTTGTGCTTCAAATTGTCATACTGTTTTTAAATGTTCAACTGCATTGAGACATTCACCTTCTCGTAAGTAAATTGAACCAATACGTGATTCTGTTTGTATAACTTCTTCAGAAAAATCACCAAATAATTGGATTTTATCGGGTAGACTTTCACAAAGTACATTCAAAGCATCCTAAATAGTCAAATTCATTTCATTAACTTTTAGAAAACTCGGAGAAAAAAAAAACAACTTTGCCGTTTCGTAGGAAAGCATGTCCTCGAAGTCTTTTGTTAATGTCTTTAATTGAAATGTTTAGGCTTGAATAAAGATTAATAATATTTCTATTATGTTTTTTACTCAAAAGATTCGTAGCTGTGGTATAGTCTCTATATTTTTGTTGGAAATTCAATAGTTGAATTCAGACGTTTAATGGCAAGTTGTGTGCTAGTGTGGAGAGAAAAACACTAAACATGGAAATATGAGACAAATTTTTATTAGTAAAATATATTCTGAATCTATTTTGTTCTCAGTTAATTTGAATTCTTTCTAAAAATTGGAATCTAAGTAGAATACACTCTCATTAATCGATTATAGTTGAAGCTGAAAGTCATAATAGGCTACCATCAGTAATGCAAACAAACGTGCGATAGAAACACCAAACTTGAAACTAATTAGGAAAATTTGTTTGATCAAGACTCAAACTAAGCCTAATCTTGTTCATATTGTACCAAAGTCTAATTACAAATCTTCATTCGATCATAGGCTCAAATTTCAAACACGAGTTTATATTCCAGTAATAGCAAAGACTTTTTCTTTATATTAACAAACCTGATATTTTTCTGCTTTAGTATAAAAATTTGCTAATTCATCGATTACTTTCAAAACATTTTTATTCATTTCACCATCTGATTCTTTATATAATTGAATTGCTTGTTGAAATTCGTTTTCTAAATCATCTGACAAAAAAAAAAAACACATACATATTAACGCAACGACAAGAGCAAATATTGTTTTTTCTTTTATTTTCATGTTTACCTGTTAAACGATCTGTTCTTACTTTTGCAATACTTCGTTGAAGAATTGCATTTGCAAGTTGATGCTTATGTTTGATTGATGATTTAGTTTTTTCTTGTTCATTCGCTAATTCAATTGCTTTTCTATAATATTTTAATCCATCTTGAATATTTTCATCATATTTAATTAAATACGATCCTGAACGTAAATATAAATCAATTGTACGTTTTATTTGATCATTTGAAAAAAATTTCTCAATATAAATAACAAGTTGATCGATTAATTCATAAATAGATTCATCAAATTCTTTTGAATCAAATAAAATTTTATCAAATTTAACAAATAAATATTCCATATGTATCTGCTCATAAGCCATTGGTTTCATTAGATGTTTTAATTTGTCTAAATATTTTTTAATTAAATTAAAATCATGATTAATATGTACTTTATCAATCGATAAAATATGTTTATTTTTTATTTTTAATTCTCGTTGTAATAAGTACTGTTTAGCATTTATTGAACATTTAGTTAAAGTAAGATAAATATCATAAGCAAGTAAATTTTGTAATATATTATCATCATTAGGTTTTATATTTAAGTATTCGAGTATTTGTCGAGCATTTAGTGCGTGAAATTTAGCTTGAGGTAAAAAGTTTGATTTACGATTTAAATAAAATTTACTTAGATTTATGTAAGCTCGAGCATTTTCAATAGAATTATCTCCATATTCAAGATTTGTATAAACTTGCATAAGGACAAGCTGATTAAGATATTGTTCAGCCTAAATAAAATCGAAATAAATAAATATTAAAAGAGAAATTAATTCAGATACAGTTGATTCATCTTTAGATTCGATGATTTCTTTTTGTAAATCTTCAATTTTTTGTTTTGGTGTACGTAAATCAATAGCAACCAGAATGGCATTAGTAGCACATATCGATGAATTAGGATTAAATGGTGTTCGAGTTGAATCTAAACTAGAACTACGTTTAGTTAGCCGTCGTTGACGACTTGCACTAAATGGACGTGATTTTCGTCTATCAAATTCAACAATTAATTGATAATAGAAATTAAATTTCACGATAACTTACTTATCAGACATTAAAATAAACGATTTTATTCATCAATGATAATCAACTACCATAACTAATATTATAATCTGTTCGTTGTCATGAATACGCTTTTTTTTCTGTTCAATGTCTTTGACAGAGGGCAGTATCGTTTAGAGTAGCAAATATTGCAATCAAATATATATGTTGATAATTTATTTTACAATCTGTATTCTATAGACAAAATTATTCAAACTTTTTTTCATCATTTGCTCGAGATTAATGAATTGTAATTATTTATTCTTAGGTCATAATTAATGTTTTTTTGTTTAACCTTGAATCAGACATATGACTCTAGACTAATTCAAAATTAGAAATGAAATCTTATATTGAACATTATCATATATCGTTAAATAATTAATAAATTCTCTCATTATGCGAGATGTTTGAACACTCGCATAATTAAAAGAAACAGTTCTTTCTTTATGTTCTATTTGCAATTGTAAAATCAATCTTAATCTTAATGGAAAAAAAGTGTTTTCACTATTTAAAATAAAATAAAAGAATAAAAATTCAGCAGTTAACATTTTCTATCCTTCATATTATTTATTGATTTTATTTCATTGTTATATATTTACGAAATCAATTAAAATATTAGTCACTTAGATTTTAACGGCGCCGACCAACAATTCCATGAGCATAAAGTGCTTTTTGAAGTTCAATTGGAATTGTACGCTTCTTAAATGGTATAATAAGAGCTTGGTCATCCTTTAAGTCATAATCAGCTAACATTGATGGATGATTTGAATGACTATTGATATTCTTAAATAAGAAGGAAATATCAGGCGGTAAACGAATGTTTATTTCTACATCATTATTATCATATTGATCATGAATAATAATATCGGTATTTTTTGCTGATACATAGATAATAAATAGAAATAAAGCAATAAAACGTAAATATGAAGTAGAGAAAGAAATATTGACCTAGAAGAATTTTCAAAAAAAAAAAACAAACAAACAAAAGTGTTCGACATAAATTTTTTCTATTTATCTTACTTTGTTCATTTTAAAAATGACTATAGATATGCGTTGGTGTTGTTAAATGAAACTGAACTGATCTTTCACTATTTATATACCTGAGGAAAAAAAAGAAGGAAGAAAAACGACTCTCCAATTTTAATTTGAAAGGATTTATATAGATAGTCTTCAAATTACTTAAATCATGACATAAGTATTTTAAAGAGTAAAATAAAGACAAAAAAAAAACATCTACCTACAAACTTGATTAGTGATACATAGAACAACATTCAAATAAAAGAATTATTCATCTTCGTTTCATTGTTTGATAGAAGTTAAAATTTGGATCTACACCCTTCCCCTCACTGACCATGACAGATCTCGTTACAATATATGATCTACTTGCTTTTTACATTTCTGAAGGATTAAATGAAAGGATGATGAAGAAATGCATCCCAAAATAGATAACATAAAACAATTTTTCTGTAATTAACAACAGCACATACATCGTTTTGTCCATTTTAATTATATAAGGATTGTACTAACAGTTTTGTTTGATAAGATGAGTAGAACGAATCGAATTTATTATAATTCAAATACAAAGGTTATTAGCTACATTCACTTGCCTCTCTATTTTTTGATTACATATGTACATAATATTGAAGGAGACATTAATTATGTGTTTACAAGAAAACTAAGAATATGACTCAAATGAGTAAAAAAAAAACTTCGTTAGATTTATGTGATTATCTTGTTATTTCTATTTAACAGATAATAAATAACGTTTAATCCATGAACAAGGTCGTCTTTGTTGTTATATTTTATTTAAAAAGCATTAATTTTAGAAAACCAGTGGAATAATTCTAGCAAACAAAACCTTTAATAAACAATAAAATAGTGAATTGCAAAATTTTATCTTAAACTTTGACTCAAAGTTTACTGTGTGATATCAAAAAAAAAAAAGGTGATAAGATCAGAACACCTAAAACTTTGTTTCATAGTCTTTTCATTCATCTGACATTTAGACGACAATGTTGTTTTTCTTTCTCTTCTTTTTTGCATCATTCTCACAAACAAGTACAATTTTAACACGTTGTGCAACAAATCCATTATGTCGTTTAAGTAATGATTCAATGACAATTATATGTGATTCTATATTTAACAGTCAAAATGAAAGTGATCCATATCCTATCATATCATGTCTACCACCTGTTAAAACATATTTATTTCGTAATTTTCAACAAATTCCATCATATGCTTTTCAAAATATAACATTTCCTGAAAATCAATCATTTTTAATTAAATTAATTAATATATCAATGATTGATTCGGAAGCATTTTC